ACCCGGTGCCAATGACGTTGGGTCATATTGACCCGAGGCGATTTACAACGGGCATATTTTTGTTTTACGCCAATTGCACGATTTCAACGTTTGAGTAGCTGGAGATACAACCCTCCTCTACCCGACTCGCTGGTGTACTAAGTGTGAAGCCATCTGCACAGCCAAGTAATACGTGCATTAAGTCAAAACGGGTCAATATGACCCAGCGTCATCGCTGGCGTGGTATTTTTGTGACTGACATTATTGGTTTATTTACTGTTTATAATTAATTAATCTTATTCCTGCTGCTTGTTGCGTGCTGACAGACATCAATTTAATCATTTGACACCAATACGTGAACTTTCCAAAGCATTTGTTGAACAATGCCAAAAATGTATCCTGCGGGCGAAAACTGCACTATTAATGAAATGTTGGTGGTATTCAAAGGACGATGCAAATTTACGCAATACATACCAACCTCTGGCACACGCGAGAGATGTCAAGTATGTCCGTTCAAAAAGGATAAAAAAACATCTCATACATGTAATGCATGCTAGATTTATATATATGTACTACCTATATACCCGGATCATACGGGAAGGTACTGCAATAGTTGCAGCAGTTGCACGTCTCTGATTGAGGACGTAGAAGACTAATTTCTAATAATAAGTTTGAGTGACCTTTCTTTTAGTATATAAGACTATTAATTGCTATTATTATTCAGAATATTTTACTAAAAATAAAAGAAATATCAAAATTATGTTTTCAATGTTCATTTTGCACGTGTTATTGAGAACGCTAATTAAATATTTATTTATACAATTTATTGTTATTATTTTTATTTCAGTATATGTCTTGACGACTCTTACTTAATACGTATTTGTTAAAATTTAGACAACTACTTTAATTTTACAAAAATTTATCAATGAAATTCGGGTCACGATGACTCAACGTCACCGTCGGCGTAATTATTTTCACGTCATTGGCGCCGGGTTAAAGGTGGAATATTTCCTTAAAATTTGGACTAATACTCAAGTACCCTCTTTGCAATAAAATAAAAATCGTAAAAATCGATCCACAAAAAAAAATACAGTCGAATTGAGAACCCCTGCCTTTTTTGAAGTCGGTTAAAAATAAAACTAATTGTAGAATAAGTGTAACATTTAAATTTCCTACTGTTGTAAAGTTCGAAATTAAATAACTGCCGTGATTAGTAAAGAAAGATTTGTCACTTTGATCTGTCGTTTTTATTTTTTCCTTGGTGGATAAGATCGATATAACCAATGTATACACTACGCCAACTTAAGTTTTCGACCTATTCTATTTTTATTTTATTTTGTTTTTCTTTTTTTCGATTTTTGTTTATTTTTCTTTATTTTTTCTTCGCAAAATTCGGCGAGCATAATATTAGTAAATAAATATAAATTATAAATAATATTGAAGTTACCGCTACGGAAAAGAGTAGAATTTTTTTTAATTTACTTTCTTTTAAACACTATTTTCTGGGTTGTGAGTTTTTGTCATAAGCACCCTTTCAACTAACGGCGGCAGTATTCACTGCCATAACCTTCAAATAAATTTATTAACCCTTCGCAGACTTGATGTTGGAATCTCAAGAAGCTTAAACATTTCGTACAAGTGATCTGTTAAGCAAACGGGGGACAAACCCTAGAGGATTAAAAGTACTTTTTTGAAGATGTTTTGTCAATAGGTACTCAAAATAAAGGATAGTAGGTACCTTTACTATGGGTTGACGTTGTTGACAAAGGCATGCGATAAAATTTTGTCAATTTTCTATGCAACATTGTGCAGCGCAGGACTGCGCTACACCACTGGAGTAGTCAATATAGATTTTTTATATAGAGTATGAGTCAAACGAGCAAATAAGCCACTGGATGAGAGGTGATCATCATCGTCCATACACATCTGCAACGTCACATGAGGTGCCTATGCGTTGCCAGCCTTTTGACCCTGCAAACGCGCTTTCTGAAGAAACCCATCTCATAGCGCAAAGGAGGAAGTAGTGGCGTGGCGTCCGTATAATTCGATTCCCGCCGGCTTGCCTAAATTTTTCCACGTAATGTCAAATATTATAAAATTTTTAATGTAATTTACCATATTTTGTGCTCAGTTTTATGTATAGCACAAACTTAACCTGTGAAATGTTGTGTACTAGCGTCTTGTGTGTTAGTAAAGTGTTCTGGTTAAATGTCGACAAGGCGTCACTGTTTGTTGAGGTGCATTTTGGTTTTGCTCCAGCTTAACGATCTTTCCACATCTCGCATGTTCGAAAAAGGAACGAACGTAATGCCCGCGTGGTCTTATAGTGCCAGGTATCTATGATGTGGGAATGGGCTCTAGTCCTTTGGCGGGAGATGCGATATTGGAAACGAGACGATGGCACCAATTCCAAAAATTTCACTGAGCACTCTCCATTACAAAAACGGTAGAACACACACAGAGAGCCAATGTCTCTCCGTAGCCTAAGGGATTCCATACTGTGTATGAGCTTATGATCATTGACAATATGAACTACCCTACGTTATATTTGATCGCAAAAGAATAACAGAGTGCCAAACATGGATGTAAGGTCACAGCTGATTTTAAAACATTTGTACAGTAATTTTATCAACATAGAAATTGAGCGCGACAAACAAAATGAAAAGATGATTAAACGACAAAGAGAGCTATATACACAATTTCATATCGTTGTCCTTGTTCTTCAAAATGTATAATAATAGTTCATTACTAAATAAGCAAACTTGGATTTATCAACTGAACTAAATATTGTCATGGGGAGGTTTATCACACATAGTCTGCCATGCTACGGCCATAGCACCCTTATCCATCGGAAACCGAACGCAGTAATCTCACATTACTGCTTGGCGGCTGAAGTAGGTAAGGTGGCAGTACTTTCCTGGACGAACTCTTTCACACGGAGCTCTATTGCTTCTACCATCTCAGTCAGCGGTGACCATAGGATCTGTTAGGAGCCCAAAATGTTGGTTTTTTTAAAAAAAAAGCAATTTAGATCCATAAAGTGTATTTGTCCAAAATTCCAAACTAATATTACATGTGAAAGTAAATCTGTCTGTTACGTTTTCTGTTGAATTTTATATTTGGTATAGATGGGACCTAGGAGAAAACATAAGCTACTTTTTGTCACAAAAAAAACCTTAAAGGGGGTGAAGTAGGGGATGAAAGTTCGTGTGGAGAACCAATCGTGAACCAATGAAATCGTGGGCACCAGCTAGTTTTTTTTATTTATATAACATTTTGAATAAAAACCATATGTATGTTATACATTACATTGAATTTGCAATTTTATTTCTATACAACTACAATTGTCACTTATCTATATACGGAAAGAAGGTCATCAAATCGTATTTTTGTTTATTAATAGATAAGCAAACTGTCACAAATTTAGATACTGCCGACTTTTTTATGTATGTAGGTATGTGTTGTATCTTTCCTTGACCTGATTGTTTTTTTTGCACTACATTTTGTTTAACATAGAAACTGGACTCGTGTATATTTGTTTATATAAGGTGTTAAAAAAAGAACGAGTGAAATTCCATGTTATTACACGAAAATATATTATTTTTCACCTCATTAGCTCGGAAGGCTTTCTTTCTCATTAACTCATTAGAAATCTGCGCGCAAAAGCATTTTTAGCACGCTAGCGTGGAAAAGGTTGTGACGGTGTGACCTCCTTACACCGTTGTCTCACCTTTTTGTATCGCCTCTCTTCGCTTGTATCCTACCATTTTTTATTTTACTTGTATTTAAATTTTAAATTTGAATTGTTCCATCTTCCTTCGCTTTCTCATTTTGTTTTCGTACCACGGTCACTCCCTGCTCGACCGCCACAACAGTCGGAGCTGTTTCAAATTCCATTGCGTATAATCGCTAATTTTGGTTCTTTACAACGTTTATAATCATTAAATAAGCTAAATCACGTGTAATAATTTATAACAGTCTACAGCCTTCATGTACCTATTCTGTAACTCAGTTACTCGGCCCATTCAGGGCCCTTTCTTTTAACTTTACTTCTTTAATAAATTTTGTGGACCGGAAGTTTCCCGTTTCATTGCCGTGAACCTGTTCACGGCTAATTAGGGTTACAACCCTTTCAAGGTTTTTGAAATTCGAACTCGACAATGGACTGTGGTGCATCCAATGCACTTAACTTTTTCTTTTGATGAAAAAAACATAATAACTCGTCCAATTACGCGATTTGTCGTACTTTATTAAATTTTATGTTTTACTATTGTTGACCTTAAATTGACAACAATAGCTAATTTTGTTTATTAAAACTGATTTGTTATAGTTCACCTGTTTTTCTTTCATCTACCATTTGCCTAGCTATAGTGAGGTGAGAAGTTGTGTGTTTCGCTCGGCAGCCAAGTTGTTTTGCGTCTCGTGCTTTGAAACCATCACTACGCTCAGTAGGGCTAGCACAATAGGGCGCGACTAGCGCGAGAGCGACATAAAGCGCGACATATTGCTATTCTCGCATAGACATGTCGCGCTTTATATCGCTCTCGCGCCTTGTCGTGCTAGCCCTACAGGATTCTATTTTTGACTCCTTCGCTCAGGTTTTAAAACAAGCACTCGCAAACAACAACGTTGCAGCCTTGGATAACAGATAAGTAATTTATATTAATGAATGTTTTGTAAAATTACTTTACTAATTTGTTATAATTAATATAAAGATCGAACAAACTTAACAGCCTCCGTGGTCGAGCGGTTACCATGCTGGACTGTCACGCAGAGGTCCTGGGCTTATTTATATATTATAATAATATTTGTATAGCCTACATTTATTCCTCTCGTGAGTTTGGGTATAATTTGTGGTTGTCCATGTGTGTGTACATGGCACTCGCGGCACAGGGTTTCCCTAGTGTGTGCGTTAGAAAAAACACTTTAGCATTACTCCAATTAAATTGTATAATCGAAAATTTTAATGTATTAAAATGTTGTTAGTTCTAAATAAATAAAATAATGTAAAATAAACTTACCAGTAGAGGTAATTGCACCATTGGTCTCTGAAAAAGAAAAAAATATACATGTAATAAATACTCTATCTAACATTGCGTTCCGTATTCTATAACAAAGTTCGTGAACCGATTTCGATAGTAAACTAATCACTATTGATATATTTTATGTTTAAAAACAAAAAAATGATTTCAAATTTAAAGACACAGTTCCCCTGAAATGTCGATCATTGATGCCATCACCCTACGATGTTTTTAAATAAGCATTGTAAATTATAAATGTGAACAAATATATATCCTAGTGTAACGTTAGATATTTATTTACAAAGAACATTAGTTTCATACTTGTTTTTCTCAAGGGAATCTGCATTAGGAATGAGCAGTATAATTGTTTAACCAATTCGACGAGTGTAATTTGTTTACTTATAATATGAAGATGTTTTGAATTTAACTGTAAATTTTATCAGACTGGTTAAGAGACGATACAGCCTTATATAGCGTGGTTGATCCCGCATAACAATGAGAGTGTCGTATCCCTTTCAATAAAATATAATAGTAAATACGAGGTTTGAAAACACGATTCGTAAAAATTTTCACGATACAAAAGAAACAAAAATTTCCTTGAAATTTTACAAGGAAACCGCTGCATTCAATAGGTACTTTATATATTGACTGTAAACTGGCAACTGGTACTATCTCAATTTGTGACAACTTTACTGGATGAAGAAAAAAATGTGATATAGCATCTGGTTTATCAAATAAAAATACATAGTATACATACATACATGTGTAATAAAAAATATTTTAAAACGATACGCATTTTTATTTAATAAACCAGATGCTATATCACAATTTTTTTCTTCAAAATTGAGATCGTACCGATTGCCAGTTCTCTGTCGATATACCATTTTTTTTTATATCAACCGAAGTAAACAGAACACGTACTATACGATATAAATTCTGAAATAAAGCCAGTTCTGAAATAAGTCCCGCTCGACCTAAACAAAATGAACCGTATTAATAATAATAATAATAATCATTTTATTCTCAGACAACGTGATCCATAATATTTGTTAATAAATAGTACTTAAGCTAGTGTTAGTTTAAACATAAAAATACAATAACAAAATAGACAATACTAATAATAATTAAATAATAATTTGTTTAATAGGCGGGAGGATAACTGCCCAGCCAATGTTAGAGCAGTGAATAGCTAGCGGTGTGCAAACGCATCCACCGCCACAACATTGGGGACTCCCACCTATTTGTCAATGTGTTCAGGATGCTGTTTGTGCTGCCACGCATGCGACTGAGTAGCGACGCACTTCGCTTTCGTATGATAGCGTAAAAATCGTCTACACGTTTATCAGCGAACATGGTTGATTGTATTAGTACGGGAAAAATTGGGACTCAAGCTGAGGTACTATCACACTTAAATCGTGACATAATAGCAATTCACTGCAATTTTTGAAGAAGAAAACATTGAATTAGTAATAGAACGACATCCACAGCGCCTGCGTGACTTTTGTTAGCATAATCGTATTGTGATTATAGACTTGTCTTTTTTGAAAATGGAGTAAAATGACAGTTCATTGTGCAAAAGTGTTGCCAGCTTGCAAGCAGCTAGTGATTGCAGTCGATAAATATTCCTATAGAATATTCCTATAGAATATTTATCGACTGCAATCACTAGCTGTCACGAATCAATGTTGGTCACGCTTATGCAATAAATAGCGGAATATGTTTTATATTAATCATATTCGGCCCAGTATTCATTCAACAGCTAGGCAATGGTTCATTTGAATTGTCTTGGACAATGGCGGATTTACCCTAAGGCCCAGTAGGCCCGGGCCTAGGGCGGCCAGATTTTAGCGGCGGTCAGTCGTGACAAAAAAATCACTAATGATAACTCAAAGTACCTAAATAATCTAAACGCTCACGTATATTATATAACACTAATCTAAAGTACCGTATAACAATAATCTTCTTATATCACTTTCTTACATTTTGTGTATAAAATATAGTTATGTTACGTATCTATAATGTAATGTGTAATCACTAACTACATCACTACGTCTGTCTGTCTGTCTAATCGCGATAAACTAAAAATGTACTGAACGATTGCTGGTAATGACTACTTGGCCTATGGCGGCCAAGATTGCAAATCCGCCACTGGTCTTGGATGTATTTATGCATATGCGTACTTGGATGACAAAAATGTCACGACTGCATTACTCCACGAAGTCTGAGAAGATAGTGGAGTGCATCAGACATAAAGCCAAATACACCCTGAGAGTCGAGAGGTTGGAGTCCCGCATGGTCACGGTCAACCGTGTCACAAACCACCACCAAAAATATACCCGACACGTGTTTCACCTTTCCACGAGGCATCCTCAGGGGCTGTTGACTGCTCGGCCGAAGAGTGAGTGAGTTTACTCTTTGGTTTGTGACTGTAGTTGCGCTTGTGTTATTTATTTTATTAATTTTATGCCGAGGGGGTGGGATAATTAACTGCATGAAACAATATTCAACACAAGCGCAGCTATTTTGCACGACTCAACCTTCACTGGGTTCGCGGAATAGCAAATTAATTTACTTCCATTTTTATTAACATGGACTTCCGCAAAATCGGAGCATGTATTAAGATTATCATCAAAACGATTTTAATTAAAAAGCCATATTACAAAATTGAAGACTACGCGTTAGATAAGGATATATGGAAAGACGACATTAATCTAGATTCCACACAAGTATGATTCAAAGTGCATTCCATAGCATTTAAGTTTATTTTCAAAGTGCAATCCCTAGAGTTTCTTGCTCGTTCTTCTCAGGGAATTTGGAGTGTAGTGTAACTTTAGATGAAGGTCTAAAGTATTATAAAAATATACTCGAATGATAATTAAGCGATTGTATGTACATTCATTGTCATATGTCTTTGAAGCGCAACGTCCTTGGTGATTTTTATTTATGTAAACTATCTTTATACGCAGATAAGTTTCTACGTATGCAATATACGTCGGTGACATATACTGTAAGATTATTGCGTAAATACTATTCGTTGTTACATACTAATTCGATTTACAGGGTTTGCATGCGTTTGATCATACATATGTATAAAACTACCACCATGCCGGTCCGCCTCACTTATACGAAAATTAAATACACTAATATCAATACATGTACCGTTGCCCGTTCGATACTTGGAATATAATTTAAAAGCCGGAGGTACGAAGGGAGAGTTGTTTTCCTTAATATAGTCTACAATGCTGAATCTTCATTTGGACAAAATTATTATTGTTAGAAACCGGATCCCTTGGTGGTTTAAAATAAACGTATTGTACAATGAAAAAGCAGAACAGTAAACGAGTGAGCGGAGCGAGCGAAGCGGGTGTGCTGCGGCAGCGGCCGGCGAGTGCCATTCTCACGAAAAAAAATCCCGAAAAATTCAAAAGTTGCGAGATCGGATGCGAACCCGAGGCCCCCTGCTTAAGAGGTGGTAGGTCAGGCTACCATGGCTTTTACTTTTACTATTATGATATTAATTTATGTTTTGTTAAATTACTCCACTAATTTGTTGTAGTTATTAATAACAAAGATCAAACATAAACAAAAATCCCTTCAGTCTGACAGGACACGAGCCTGTGTCTTTCTATGTAGGGCAACTGCTCTCAGATTTTGTTAATTCTGTAAATAAATCACTTTATTTCACCCGATACAGCAATTTTTTTTTTTCGTCAAAGACACTACTCACACCGGATTATTTGATAATACCTAGTGACGGCACGAACAAGTCGCACGCCTGGTGGTAAGCGATATGCCTATCCATAGCAGTGGCAGTACCACTCAGAGCTTTAAATCGCAAAGGTCTTTGGGGCACTGCCACTGCGCCCTGCCTGTCACCCTGAGACATAAGTTAGCAAGCCCTATGTGCCTGTAATTTCACCAGCACACTTCTAAACCGGAACTCAGAAATAGGTAAGGTGGCAGTAGTTCCCTAGCCGCGATCTCTTTCACAAGGAGCTCTACTGCTACTAAATTTCCCTCCACGCTCTACTAGATTTCCCGCCACGTGAAACATTTGACGCAAAATGCCACGAAAGACGCCATTACACCACGATTTTGAGGACAATAAATTGACCAACCCTTATTCTGAATCGCTAACAGATCAATGCTCGAAGGTAGTTTTCTTTGTGTTCGACCTTTGTTATTTAATAATTAAAATCAATACATTGCTCCGTAGTTAATGTCCAAAATAGAACCAAACTTCGTTTGCATTCAACTCAGGATCTCTTAAGGACTGGTGTCCTCTGAAGAATTTGGAGGGGTTACTGGTGTAACCCCTCCAAATTCTTCAGAGCTTAGAATCTTTCTTTTACAAAAACGTAATTTCTGGGTAAACAAATACAAAGAATAATTTATTCCATAGGTAAAATAAATTTACACTTGAAAACGTCACTTTTAAGCCACTGCTCGTTCAATATGCTGACTTCCCAGAGAAAAACGAGCAAGAAACTCTAGGGATTGCACTTTTCAAATAAATTTAAATGCTGTGGAATACACTTTGAATCAAATTTGTGTGGAATCTAAAGCCATGTCGTCTTTCCATACACCTTTATCTAACACGTAGTATTCAATTTTGTAATATGACTTTTCAATTAAAATATGTTTAATGTAGTTTTTAAACTTAGGAAACGATAAGCTTAATACATTATGCTCAGTAATCTTGTTGTAAAAACGTATATAGTTGGGGAACTATGGGGATAAAAGAGTAGTTAACTTGGTTAAACGAAATCGTAGTACCATGAGTTTGGACTTAGCTCTAAGGTTAATGAAATTATTTATATTTTTACGGGCATATAAAATATTTGAGTAAATGTACTGTTATGCCACAGTCATGATACCAGTATCCTTAAACTTTTCTCTGAGAGATACCTGAGAAATATGATCATTATCATCATATTCAGCCCACATCAACCCAAAGCTAGGTATAGGGATCTTTATTGCGCCAACTTTCACGGTCCTGCGCCATCCGTACCCAGTGCAATCTCGCAAATCTGACGGTCTCGGACCTTTCCTCTCTTCGCTCCTCTGTTGACCACCATTCTGTACTACTTAGGTCCATCATCCAAAAGTAAGTGTAGCTGACTTGAAGGAAAAGATTAAAGAAAGCTATAGACGATAATAAAAATTTATTTCAGACCTGTATACATGTCTAATTAGACAAACTTCATAAACTATGTTAATATATACCTGTTAGTAATACACTTATTTTATTTAGCATGTTGTGTTCACATCAAGTAGAGTACGTTCTTATCGTATCACTATATTAATGAAATACTTTTAGTTTATATCCGAATTGTATCCAGTTTCGTGAATCGAATAAAGTACGTTACATTATATTTACCTATTTAACAACCCAACTATAGGGTACTTACTACATGCAGTGAATTATAGTGTTCATTAAATGAACCATCGGAGGCTGTTGACGCTAGTGCGCACCCGCAGCTTCAAGGAGGCTTGTCGCTTTTTGATTATGGATTAACATCCATCCTTATGTACTTCTGAAAACATTGTTGATACGCTTGCAGTAGCACGACTGCCAAAACAGCATCCTGAACGCGTTGTTATATTGGATACATATCTACAGATTGTTAGTGCTAAATGATTGGCTATAAGCTTTATAATCACTTAGTAATCTCTAATATCGGTTTGGTTTTAATCACCGGTACATTGTTCAGAACCCTAATTAAGAAATTGATGATATTCATAAGCAATTGATGGTCTTCAGGATGTGATGACACCATAAGAGATTTTTTATGATACCTAGTTACGGGATAAAGAAGCCGTGCGCTTGATGGTAGGCGATCGCGTGTCAATAGAAGTTGAAACGCCACACAAAGATTTCAGGGGCACCGCCACTGCGCTCGTTGCCCTATCCTTAAAAACCGGTACGCTGTCATGCTTACATTAATGCTTGGCGACAGAAAGAGGTAAGACACTTGACACAATATCTTGATTTTACACAATTCTGCTTCCTTATTTTCATTAGTCAGGTATTTTATTGCCTAAAACTCATTGATATATTCTTAATAGTTTCTGTCACCGTTTTAACTTAAAGTAGTGTCAGTTGGTTATACTTTTAAACCAGAGGATTAATAGGTGTTAAATGAACAAACACATTCATGTTCTTATTACATAATAAAGTTTTGTTGATGTTGTTTTGAACAGAAAGACTTGTTTGTTTGCCCATTTATCAGAGCGATAGGCTTTGCATAAATATACAGATAACAAAGATAGCTAATATAACACTAACCTAGTCCATTCCAACTTTGTTTGTAAAATGTGATATGGTTTTCATAGATGCGAATGATATTTTTGTTACAAAAGAGTCGTACATAAAAAATAGAGGTTTGTGAGAGAGAATATCATCTCATAGGTCATATACAGTTGTAATAATGGCGTTTATGGGTTGCGCCGAAATAGGGGAGTTTATTTACTTAGGTCTATCGACGACTTTTAGTTTATTACGATTGTTACATTATTCAAATTAATTATAAGAAAAAGTGTCTTCTGCAATTTACTTATGGAATAAATCTCTTATTCAGAAAAATTTGGAAAGATAATGTTAGTTTTCAAGTCGCATTCAAGTATGTAATGGGCTCAGGACCGCTCCCCGGAGAACTCCCATGTAATAGCTGTAAATAAAGTATATCCAAATTTCTTTTACAGTTAAATGATTACCACTAATATCAGGTTTTTTTACCACGGTATGACTTCTTCTTATTTTCCCAATATTTCCCGACAAACCTGATATTAGTGATAATCATTTAGTGAATAACCACGAAAGTCTTAAAATCTATTCTTTTATAGTTCTTTTCATATCTTCTAGTTACTGTAATGGAAAAAACGGTATAACGGGGTATTTATTCCAAATGACAGTTAATTTTCTTGTGTAATGACTCCTTTATACTTAAAATCAACATGAATATACAAACAAAACGCCATATTTTAATTCCAAGGTGCAAGCAGTATTTATAAAATAACCGTTTGTATTTCGATTCGTGTTACCTGCGATATCGATATTTGTTTTCAATCGATTTTCTTGTTTATAATAATCGATGAAAGCAACCGATACGGAAAACTGTTTAGGTTTGAATCTTCTCGCTTAATCCAAGTTTACGTTTCGTAAAAAATGTTTTTCAAAAACAATATTGTGTTTTCGTTTTGCACGGTAATGTATGTTTTTAATTAAAAATTCTTTTGTTAGTTCTTTGTCTAATAGTTTCTGTTTACATAGGGCTACTGTTTTGTTACAAGAAGCATTTTATGTAGGGTTTTACTGCGTTTAGAGTGTACTGTTTTCGTCACTGTCGATTGTGACTAAGCCTCGTTTTTTGCAAGACTCCTGAACAGTGTTTGTACATATTAAACCGTGGAAATGATGGTCACACATGCATGACGCATTGTCTCTGTGTGCACCATTTGAAAAATTGTGATAGTCTATTTGTGTGAACGCTTGCCACTTTTCAAATTCGTCTTTTCGAATCATCAACAAAGAAACATGTAAATAGAACTTGCATTTTGATTATTATATATATTTTATGTTGAGTGTGGGTCTGTTATGTGTGGGGGTGTGCGCGTTATTTTGTAGAAGGCTCAAATATTTCGAAAACGTGTTAAGTTGCCAACACGCATCGATCTGCGTAGCGGGTCATAATTCATAACGTAAACCCTCTGCTTAGACCACTCAGACGTAACACGCGATGAAAATAGACGATAATAATATACAAGTTGTCATAAAGAGAATTAAACGTATATTAGATAATATAACACTATCTGCTACAGTATTAGTGGTATAGATAAAAGGTATTTTTAGTGACTCATAAGACATCTTTAAATTGATCATAATGTCATGAAAAACAAACTTAAATTACGTAGATATAGATAGATATAGATATATAAGAGAGATAGTCTTGGTCAATATTACTTTTATTTAAGTGACAGTTAAACACTATAAAAAGGTTCTCATGAGCTACTCTTTCTACTTATAAATTTCTCTCTTCTTTCTAATTCACGCAAACTTCACTTCAAAGAATCAAAACATGTTTTGCAAAAACTTGCTAAGTCATGATGCTGGAAACCGCCTGATCATATTCTTTGGGCAACAAGCCGCTTTTATTAGAGTAATCCCTCAAGATGACTAGTCAGCAACGTTGTTGAATAAACGTATTTTTCGAGTTGATTTTGAATTATATTTGTAAGTTAATGAAATCTTAACGTTAAAACTTTATAGTCATCAAGAGAATGAAATGTAAGCATTGCTTTTTCAAGCGAAACAGTGGAGTTGTCTACTCGAAATTCTATAGTTCAAATTTCAGTGAAACATGTTGTTTAATTGAGTAGGGACGTATTTTTCACGCGACATACTGACGAATTTTAATTTAGGTGACAATTTTGTCAATGTTATTTGTTAAAAGATTAAAGAAATAGATAAATGTAAAAATTTCTTAATTAGTTTTAAGATCTCGTTGTTGTTTAAGTAACAATCTTCAATAGTTTTCAATAGAACTTTACCAAATAAGTACTAGTTGATATTTTTATCAAAATCTAAAAAATAGAAATAATTTTCATAAGATCATAAGTATTGTTCAACATTTCCATCTACGACAGTTATGAGATCTTTTGTGATGAGAAATAACAACAACTAAGTTAAAATTCACTATTTCAAACCAAAACAATCACACACATTTAATTTTACTAACTTACCGTTTCATCTAAGTTGTAACCATCGTCATCCCTCTGTAGACACATCCAGAAAACACATAGAGAACTGTCTATCACTTTCACTTTACATCAGTTTTCAATTTCATATAATGTCTATATGGCCGATTCTAGTATGGTACCTTGCGGCACTCCGCGTCCGAACGCTTGAAAAGACTGAGTCGGTACAACTCCTATGTTTTGAATACAACCTGAAACAGAAAGAAAAAACAATAATAAACTTTAACAGCCAGTAACGTTGTGTTTATGTGTTTCAAAGAGGGTTCTCTTGTGGTTTATATGGTCTAAGGCTCTTCTTAAATGGACTTTAATTTACTTTTTACCAATCGGATATTTTAGTTTTAAAAAAGAGACGTGATAAGTACACTGCATTAAGTAATAGTTTCATTTACGTAATAAGAATATTTCAAAAATTATGTGTAAATGATTTTTTACTATGTAGTAGTAAGTGACTGAAGATACGATTAAAAATGTAATTATTATTTAAACGAGTGCAACTAATTTAGTGGTCTATTATAATAGACCACTGATCAATTATAAAATACTGCCGAACCATTACAAAATTTCAATGCTCGTTCTTATTCCTTTGCCTATGAGCCTACGATACGCTTTAACATAAACAATTAATAGTTATTTTTAAATATTGTCCGGTAATCTTTGTCTATGACTAACTATACTTTTCTAAACGTTTATAGACGACATAGAACAAAAATAAAACAATCTATGATTTATCTAGATGTTTTTTCTACACCGTTGTAATGGCTAGTCGTTATGATTTATTACAACTGGATATCTTATACATATACACGTACTGTCACGCCTGTCTTCTACTGGAGTGGGCAAGGACTATGTTCAGGGCAAGTTCCGTCCGCCACGCTCCTCACATACCTCTCTCGCTTCCTTCGCTCACATGAATCATGTCAAAGACTTCCTGTTTATTCTTGTACTTGTTGTTGTATACTATTGACCTGCCTTTTTTGAGGACATCCTCAATCCGTCTGCGATAACTACGCCGAGATTGACCTATCTCTACGTTTCTATCATTCGTTATATAATATCCATATTTCCCGTATGACAAAACCATCGAAGCATTCCCTTTTCTATCCTAGACATTACGTCATCTTTAACGCGACAACGCTGTCTTATAATCGTTGCTCAATCTATCTGTAAGGATTCACCACTTCATCTGATGTTGTATATATTACATCTATATTAATTACGTGGATACAAAACCCTAAACAGACATTTACTTCTGAACTAATGTTAGACGTGGTTTCATTACAGTCGGTATGAATTTGTGAAATACTCTCCTTTACATTTCTGTTGTTACTGTTACGCAACGAATATTATATCAACCTGTATTAATATCATTAATGGGCACGAATTTCGTTAAAATCAAGTGTTTAGTCGAAACATTAGGAAATTCGTGGTTATTCAGTAGCTACGGATTTTTTTCACGGTATGACTTTTTATAACTCTACCAATATTTAAAATTTTTATTGAATTGATATTCAATTATTTTTGTGAAATTACTCCACTAGTTTGTTATAATTATTAATACAAAGATCGAACACACAGAAAAAATTCCTTCTCCTCTATATTTCCGAGCCGTTTCACAGTTGACAGTTATATTGTGTTTAGTCTAGGCAACCCACAACACTAATTCAAATGCGGATTGGACATATCTTACCCATTTACTAAAGTTTTTAAAACACCCAAAAATAAGAAGCAAACACAGAATATCTAACAATCGGAGCATGAAAGAAGAGTGGCTAGTTTTTGCGTTTTTGTTCTAATACATTTTTATCGTTTGTGGTAAGGTAAAAATAAGTCATATATAGTTTGGAATTTAACCCGCATGAATCTGTCCAGATTTCGTTATAGTACCAAGTGAAGGAACGAACAATCGTGCACGTGGTGGTAAGCGACACGCCTAACCATAAGAATTCCAGTGCCACTCAGAGCTTTAAATCGCAAAGATCTCTGGGGCACTGTACTGTCCCCTATTCCTGTAATTTCACCAGAACTCTTGTCCTTATATTCCGGTTTGGAAAAACCGGAATGCAGTAGTGTTCACATTACTGCTTGGCGACAGAAACAGGTAGGCAGTACCTGTTTCCCTGGACCAAATCTTTCACGAGGAACTCTACTGCTATTAGTTTTTGGCGTTTCAGTAACCCAATGAGTCGCCACCTGCTTATGGTGTTTTATGTTTTGTGAGTTTTTGCTGTCTTGTGAGCAACCTTCATCATCAAGCGTTCCACATACTCCATCTAAAATACACATTTAGGTTAGACGCGTGCTGATACAATAAAGTGAGCCCATCCTCACACATTCCACACTAAGTAAAAGCTCTTCAATCATTTCGTCAAGTAATAGATATCATATAACACCAGTTACTGTTAAGACCAGCCGTTCTTAGTACTATACGGTTAAGAACAACTATTGCTTTTGTTATAAGATTGCATTACCTACACGAAAACAAGGTGGTCGTTTGTTTGTCCAAACTCAAACAGTTTTGGTGATCAGGTAACCTGTTTTGGCGTAACGTTTTTATTGACTATCGCATTACTGACTATGTAAGCGGAATTCATTAGGCAATAAATAATCTAGAATTCGCATAGACAAGTACAAGCTGCGTCGATTCAATATGGTACAAGACAGGGGGAGTCCCTCAAGGATACCTCTTGGGCCTTAGTTTCTTTAAGCTTTGTAGAAGCTTTGTAATTCGACCTCGTGTGCCGTATAAAGTATGCTTTGTCATTAACGATATAGAAGCTGCCAACGGGTATCCTTTAGCAAGCGATGACATTGTGATCAAGGATACCGACAGAGCAACTACCTAAGGTACTTTTCGGAATGAGAACGTACGCCTAATTTTTGTACCACAAGGCAGTCTCATCGGCTTCAGAGCACTCTTTCTCTCACAAGTTTTGGGTTAAATCACAAAAAATTGCAATTAATTGCAACTTTAAAACATCATTGTTTAGTGTTGTGTGCAAGGACATGGAAATCTTTGTTAGGTGTTCGAGAAAATACTTTAATCACTTCATAATAGAATAGAAATAATAAATAATCACCTTCGGTTTCACGTTAACTGTTTTATCGCACACACATACAAAAATAGGCCAGTTATTAATACAGATTATTGGATAGCAATTTCCAATATTGGAATAGAATCAATATACGGGGTAACAACAAAATATTTACGACAGCGTTATCAAAATTATCGCCGACACATTTCTTGTCACGCGCGTTTCACTTCAAATAAACATCTTTGTGTGCTTTATCAATCGGTCATTTATATAATGTTTACAAAATAAACTTTATTTACTTCTGATATAACGAAAAGAAACAAAATCAGTAGGTAATCTAAAAACTTTGCAAATTAGAGCGCCATCTACTAGTGAACTATCGAACTATAATGCAATGTCGCTAGGTAATAAGGAAAGCGTTGCACAGCGACATCTGTACAGTTTAACCTGTATCTTTGTTTTTTTTTCTCGTCATGCCTGTTGCATACAGCCAATTGTTTACACAATACAAAAGACCCTTGTTTGTTTTTCGCTAGACGTTTCCTGGTTTGTTTTGTGTGACTGTATGTATGTGTGGGTGTTTTCACAGCTGGCTGTGTGTGTAGGGTACACAAAATGTTGTTGTTTGCAGAGGCTTGGTAATAAATTCTGTCTCTTCGACTGAACTGATGAGTTATGCTCGCTTTTTAATGTTTTAATTCGACGTTCACTCGACGTGGTGCGTTTATCTTTCATCGTTCAAACGGAAATGCGAAAAAGTCATTTCGGTTCCTTCAACCTGTGACTCATTTCTGGTTTATGTTACGATTGAGTTACCATTTAAAGTGCTCATTGTTTCGGAAGTATGATGAACAACGTAAGAACTTATATTTTCTTATTGCCGCTATCGTAATCAACTAATCAGAATTACACTCTACATTAAATGTATTCGCTTTTTGCATTGATGTGTTGCTGGTTAGTATTATCTATACGTTGAAGTTAGTAGCAGTAGAGTTCCTTGTGAAAGAGTTCGTTTTGGGAACTACTGCCACCTTACTATTATATTACTTACTATAATATTGGAACTATTTCGCCAAAATCTACTTATTGTACAATTTTCTAAGATTAAATAATATAATAACGTTTACTGTCTCATAAAATACATGTTATAGGTAGGTAGGAACAGTTTACACGTAAAATTTTGGTAATGATAATTTTGTGGGTGGCTGATGCCCAAACTAAGCATAAAAGTGCTTGTGCGTCAGGCCACCAGGTTCCCACCTCTCAGAAATACAAGTTCAAAAAAATTCAGACAGGATATTTTTAACACTGCTACATCAACGAGAATTATAACATTACATGTTGGTATCTGAGGGTTGTGAAATGTCGCTTCACAATCCACAGATACAAACAGGTGAATTTTGCAAATTAGAATCTCAAAAAGAATAAAAGCATTGATTATTTCTGTTATAATGTTGAATACTTATTTATTAACTCACAAACACGTTTATGTGGCGTTAAACAAAATACTCGTACAAAGTAAACTAAATACGCTTAACATAGAATACAAGAACAAAAACGAAATTTGATGTAAGTAGAATAGTTGAAGGTAAAAATTTTTATCGGTGTTTGCCCTATGTATTTATTCTAAAGCGAACGTATCTGACAGACCTCTGAGCACCGGATTATTTAGTGAGAGGAACTGAATGCTCCTTAGAGAAGAGTTTGGCCTATGGTCCCTGGGAATCTATGGTTTCGATCGCAAAAGGCCACGACACAGAAGCACTCGCTGAAATTGGCGTCTATGAACCGTCTACGATGCACTGAATTTAATTCATAGACTTTGCCACATTAGCTGTGGACAATTTCATCTGCTTTTTAAGAACAGTGGCTCAATTCAAAACTGACCCTTTTTTGGCTTATTACTGAGATTAATTCAGAAAATGCTAAATTTGATTGTCATTGGGATTCCAAGCTTTGCATTGATTAAAGTAATCACAAGACAACTTTGGGATGGTTTGCAATTCGTCCACTTTGAGAGGCAGCCATTTCTCAGTTTTTTTAAGCCATCTCCCTGATGAATTAGGCGCTTTTGAGATAGGCCACTATTTTCGAAAGGCATCAATATGTACACTGGGCGAAAATTGACTTAATCTTAA